CTGGGGACATAAGCAGGGTGAGGGTGGGGAGCTCTTAGACCGTGGTGGGGAAGGGGAGCCTCCCCCTCCTTGGTGCAGCACCGCCAGGATCTAGCAGGAGTTGGGAATGCTCCCAGCCTGGGCATCTCCCCAGGGCCACCCTCTGTCCCCAAGGCTGCCGTGGGACTGTTGCCACTCCCTCTGTCCCACAGCCTCTCCAGTGCTGCTGGGACAGGTGCCTGGCCCAAGGACGTGGGCATCCTGGCCCTGGAGGTGTACTTCCCTGCCCAGTACGTGGATCAGGAGGAGCTGGAGAGGTTTGATGGCGTGGAGGCCGGCAAGTACACTCGGGGCCTGGGCCAGAAGCAGATGGGTTTCTGTGCTGCCCACGAGGACATCAACTCCCTGTGCCTGACCGTGGTGCAGCGGCTGGTGGAGCGCGGGCGCCTCTCCTGGGACGCCATCGGCCGCCTGGAGGTGGGCACCGAGACCGTCATCGACAAATCCAAGGCCGTCAAGACCGTCCTCATGCAACTTTTCCATGACTCTGGCAACACCGACGTGGAGGGCATCGACACCACCAACGCCTGCTACGGGGGCACGGCCTCGCTCTTCAACGCGGCCGCCTGGGTGGAGTCCAGTGCCTGGGATGGTGAGTGCAGGCAGGGACGTGCCATGGGGCTGGGTGCTGGCTGGGTGCCGTGGGACGGGGGAAGGAGGCAGGAGGTAGCCTGAAGCCCAAAGATGCTCCAACTGCACCTCCAGGCTCTCTCCCTCACCCCTGCTTCTTGCCCGTCTCGGTGTGACACCCGGCAGCGTGGAGTTGGGAACGCACGAGGGCCGTGGGATGGAGTCTTCCAGCCTCTGGTGGCCCAGCCAGTGCCTCTGTCCTCCCTCAGGTCGCTACGCCGTGGTGGTGTGTGGGGACATCGCTGTCTACGCCACGGGGAACGCGCGGCCCACGGGAGGTGCCGGTGCCATCGCCATGCTGGTGGGACCCAACGCCCCGCTGGTGCTGGAGAGAGGTGGGCGTCACGAGACCCTGGGGGTGGTGAGCTGATGGCTGCTGTCCCTGGGGATCATGCATCCATGTCCCAGCCCTGGGCAGAGCTGCTCAGCCAGAGCCTGGAGGGGTCTGCTGCCTGGCTACATCGCTGTGGGCGCCATGGAGTGACTCGGGGAGGCTGCCAGGGGTGTTTGCCACAGAAGGCTGGGACCTCTCTGACAGCTGGCTCTCCCCTGCCCCCAGGCCTGCGTGGAACCCACATGGAGCACGCCTACGACTTCTACAAGCCGAATCTGTCCTCTGAGTACCCGGTGGTGGACGGGCAGCTCTCCATCCAGTGCTACCTGCGGGCGCTGGACCGCTGCTACGCCGTGTACCGACGGAAGGCAGAGACCCAGTGGCAGCAGGGTGAGTGGCAGCGCCCCCGAGGTGCCCATGGCAGCCCCCTGGATACTGATGGCCCCGTGTTGTCTCCCAGCTGGCATCCAGAAGCCCTTCACCCTCGATGAGTTCAAGTACATCATCTTCCACTCGCCCTTCTGCAAGCTGGTGCAGAAGTCGGTGGGGCGGCTGCTGCTCAACGACTTCTTGGCCTCCCCCAACCCCGACACGGCCTCCGGCCTCTACAAGGGGCTGCAGTCCTTCCGGTGGGTCCCTGCACCGTGTCCCCCGTCCCTCAGCCCAGCCAGGGAAGCGCTGGCCTGGGGTTCCAGCTGCTCTCTCTCTGGGCAGCGGTGTGAAGCTGGAGGACACCTACACCAGCAAGGAGGTGGAGAAGGCATTCCAGACAGCCAGCCAGGACATCTTCAACAAGAAGACCAAGCCCTCCCTGCTCCTCTCTTCCCGCAATGGCAACATGTACACACCGTCCATGTATGGCTGCCTGGCCTCCCTCCTGTCCCAGTGAGTTCCCCAAAACGCTGGCTTGGGGAGAGGGAGGAGGTCATTTTGGGGAGGGCTCTCCCTGGCTGGATAGAGGGGCAGAACTCATCTCCCAGCCCTCATCTCCCCCTCCCTCAGCAGGGACCTGATCCTTTCATTGCACACAACCCCCAGTGTGGATGCATCCTGCTGCAGGCCATCTCCCTGCCAGACTTTTCATCCCAGCGTTGCTGGAGCTGGGCCAGTGCATAAAGCCCTCCTGTCATCACCAGGAGGATGAAAACCCCTGTTGTCATGCCCAGTAGAATGAGTGACCCCATGGGAAAGGAGTCATGGGAACAGAGAGGCTCTGAGGGGAACAAAAGCCTTGTCCTGGGGCTCCCTGGCACCACTGCACTCCAGAAATGTGGCCCCAAATCTGCCTGCCTACAAAGCCCCCTGCACTGCCCCCACAGCCCTGTATCCTCACCTCCCTCTGAGCCCAAATATCCTGTAACCCCCTCCCCTCTCTCTTCAGGTGCTCAGCACGGGACCTGGCCGGCTCCCGGATCGGCGCCTTCTCCTACGGCTCGGGGCTGGCCGCCAGCATGTTCTCCTTCCGTGTCTCGCAGGATGCAGCCCCAGGTGAGCCTCGTGGGGAGAGGGCCTGGGACGGGAGGGAGGCGTGGGGCTGTCGGTGGTGCCAGCTCACACGTGGGCTGCTCGTTGCCAGGCTCACCCCTGGACAAGCTGGTCTCCAGCCTGGCTGACCTGCCCGCCCGCCTGGACTCCCGCAAGCGCGTGGCCCCGCAGGACTTCGCCGAGATCATGAAGCGACGGGAGGAAACCCATCACTTGGGTGAGTGGGGTTGGGGGGATGTGACCCTGCCCTCTTGGGACCCCACAGCACCCCTGAGCATCACTGCTCTCCCTGCAGCCGACCACGCTCCCCACGGCTCCCAGGCGGATCTCTTCCCCGGAACCTGGTACCTGACGCGGGTGGATTCCAAGTACCGCCGCGAATATGCCAGGAAACCCATCTAGAGTGGGATCACCGGAGTGGTGAGCCCTGGGGAGGGAGATGCTCTCTTTTCTGCTGTCATCCCTCTTCATTCCCTGCAGCCAGGGAACATTTTTCCATGTGGGAAAGTTCACTTTGCATGGGTGGGGAATGGCCAGCAGTGCCTCAGCCCCAGAGCTGTTGGAGACGGCGGCATCTTCTGCAAACATCGGAGCAGTGCAGGGGAATAAAGGTGCAGATGGGAGGGGGCAGCAGCCCAGCTCTGGCTCCTGGTCTTGGTTGGTCTCCTCCCACCCCTGACCCCTCCTGATTAACAACCACCGGTCTGTCTCACAGCTGCTTACAGGATTTATTCCATGGCCACCCACCCTGTTAGACATGAGATTATGCCCTGACATTTTCGGGGAGTCAAGTAAGCCCCAACCTCCCAGTTTAGGAGGGGCAAGATGGCATTTTCCCCATGATGTCATTAAATTGAAAGGTCCTTGTGGCAAAACCCCTGGGCAGGAGGGCACTGGTGGTGCAGTGGCTCACGGGAGGGCTCATGCCCCGTGCAGTGCTGCTCTCTGGGCCGTGTCCCAGCACAGGACTGTGGCCAGACAGGACCTCAACAGCCACAGGAACCTTTGCACCCTTCAGCAAACAGCAGCAGGAGGGAGGGGGTTTGGGGTTGAGGACAAAGGACTGCACAGACAAGACAGCACATGCTCTCTCCTTCCAGACCTTTTATTGAACGTGGGGCCACCCCAAACCCAGAGTGGGGGTCAGGGATGGCCATGTGCAATGTTCCCCCAGCTGGGGGAGGGTCCAGATGCTGCGGCTGTGGGGAGAATCCTTGTTGGCAGTCGGGGTCTACAGCAGGTGGAGCTGGAAGATTTCCGTAACACGAGGCTTCAGCTCTCCGAGGTTGGACAGGGGGGCTGAGAGCCCCACGACGCTCCACTGCTCCCCTGCCACCGTGCTGGAGCTGTGGTAGGACAGGAGCTGGCCCCCTGCCTTGCTCAGCAGCCCTGGAGAGGAGGACAGGAATTAGGGAGCACCTCCCTGTCCCCCATCCATCCATCCATCCATCCATCCATCCATCATCCATCCATCCATCATCCATCCATCCATCATCCATCATCCATCCATCCATCCATCCATCCATCATCCATCATCCATCCATCCATCATCCATCCATCCATCCATCCATCCATCCATCCATCATCCATCCATCCATCCATCATCCATCCATCCATCCATCCATCCATCATCCATCCATCCATCCATCCATCCATCCATCCATCCATCATCCATCATCCATCCATCCATCATCCATCCATCCATCCATCATCCGTCATCCGTCATCCATCCATCCATCCATCATCCGTCATCCATCCATCATCCATCCATCATCCATCCATCCATCCATCCATCCATCATCCGTCATCCATCCATCCATCCATCCATCATCCATCATCCATCCATCATCCATCATCCATCCATCATCCATCCATCCATCCATCATCCATCCATCCATCATCCATCCATCATCCATCCATCCATCATCCATCCATCCATCCATCCATCCATCCATCCATCCATCCATCATCCATCATCCATCCATCATCCATCCATCATCCATCATCTGCTGTAGCAGGGGCTCAGCTCTAGGTTGGATGTGGGGCTGTCCCTGCAGCTCAGGGCTGACACAGGGACTCACTGGTCAGTGTGGTCAGAGCACTGGTACCAGAGATTTTGGGGACTCACCGGTCAGTGTGGTCAGAGCACTGGTATCAGAGGCTTTGGCTCTGTAGATGAGGAGAGGGCCGGACAGGGGCGCCGGCTGCGTGAAGGTGGCCCCGTTGATCTGCCGCAGGACCGGGGTGCTGCCCTGCACCGTCCCTGTCACCTGGTGTGGGGTGCCCTGCAGGGACACCTGCAGCACACCGGTGCTGCTGTCGGGCTCAGGGGCCACATCGCTGTGGGTGGTTGTGACCTGCCAGAGAGACACGGCCCCTCAGTGCCCAGGTCCTGTGGCTGGGGCGGGGATGTCCTTGGAAGCACCCCAGGGAACCCCCAGCCTCAATGCTGCAAAGCAGCCCGGGAAGGTGTCCCCAGGCTCTTGCTGCTCGGTGGGGAAGGTGCACCAGGCTGTGGTGCAGAGCACAAATGTCCACATACCTTCAGCCCAGCCTCCTGGGCCAGCAGCGTGGCGTTCACTAGGGTCACCTCCTTCTGTGTCCCTCCAGCCAGCATGCCCGCGGCCACAGCAGGTGTCAGGTAGCTCCCAGCCTCCTTCAGGGCTGTCCCTGGGGTGCAGGGAGGAGATGTGCAGCAGCCAGCAGCACAGAGGTCAGGCCCTCAGTGGAGTGGCCAGCCTGGGGCTGGTCCTTCCACCCCACCCAGTCCATCCACCCATCCATTCCTGCACGCTCTAGAGCTCCAATCCCACTGTTAACCACCTTCCTGTCTCTCTGTTCTCCTGCCTGCCCATCGGGGTGCCCACACCCAGGCTCACCTAGGGTGCAGACCTGCACGCTGCCCTGCACTCGCTTGCCCGCCGCGCACAGCACCGTGCCCAGGGCCCTGGCCAGGGTGATCCAGGGCTTGGTCTGGGGTGCAAAAGCCTTGCTGAGAGCCTGCCCGTTAACCTGGGGGAGAGAGCGAGCGGTGAGAGCCTGCCAGGGGTCCCACACGGAGCACGGCACCCCCGGGTGACAGCTGGGGCAGCTGAGGCACGGGGCTCAGGTGCTGCAGGGGGACTCACTACGCCGGTCAGCCCCTTCCCCGTGGCCATGTCCACGATCTGCATGGCGATTTCCTTGCCGCAGCGGCTCTGTGCCTCCCGTGTGCTGGCGCCCAGGTGTGGGCAGGAGATGACGTTGGGGTGGTTCACCAGGTCACGGTCCTTTGGGGGCTCCTGCGGACGCAGTTCCATCCTGCCATCAGCTCCCAGCACCCACCTGCGAGCTCGGAGCGGGGGGCGTTTACCCCACCTCCTCCGCAAGGAGGGAACCTGAGGAGGGCTGCTCCTGCTCCCAGCCCCACAGGCTTTACTAGGCTGCCCTGCCCTGCTTCGGGCAAGATGAAGGTGGTGCTGAGCCAAAGGCAAGCTCGGGGGGTCCCCACAACCCCTCTCACCTGTGTGAAGACATCGAGGGCGGCCCCACCACACTGCCCCGACTGCAGCGCCCGCAGCAGCGCGCCCTCGTCCACGATGCCACCGCGGGCACAGTTCACCACCTGCACGCCACGGCGACACTTGGCAAAGGTGCTGTCGTTCAGGAGCCCTGCGGAAGGAGGGCTGTGAGCAGAAGGGGGCTGCCCCGGCTCTCCCCAAACCTCGCCGGTGGTCGTGCCCGCTCCATACCCGTGGTGGAGGGCAGCAGCGGCGTGTGCACCGTGATGAAGTCGCAGCGGGGCCAGATCTGCTCCAGCGGCAGCTGCTCCACACCGAAGGTGGCTGAGACATCGGGGGTGATGATGGGATCGTAGCCTATGGTCTGAGGCAGGGCGGGCACTCACTCTCACAGCCTGGCACGGCGCCTCTGGCCGGGTCAGGAAGGTCTGTGCTCCCCATCGCTCCTCCCTGCCCGGTCTCCTCACCTTCATGCCAAAAGCCTGCATGCGAGTGGCCACCTCCCTGCCGATGCGGCCCAGCCCCAGCACGGCCAGCGTCTTCCCGTTCAGCTCCATGCCCATGTACTGGGGAGTGCAGGGACAGTGAGGCAGCGCACCCCACACGGACACCCCCTCCCAGAGGTGCTTCACCTGCCTCCTACCTTCTTACGGTCCCACTTGCCCTCCTTCATGGAGGCGGCTGCCTGCGGGATCTGCCTGCAAAGGAGGCTGTGGTCGGTGCGGGGGAGGGGGCTGCAGGGAGCCCCTCTGTCCGCAGCCTGCCTTGTGCTCACCTGGCCAGGCACAGGATCATCCCACAGGTGAGCTCGGCGGCGCTGAGGCTGTTGCCAGTGGGCGTGCTGGGGATGGAGAGCGGTGTCACCGGTGTGTGTCCCCTCCCCCGGGCTGACGGGGGTCTGTGCGCGCAGGGTGGTGCCAGGGGTGGGGAGGGCACCCTATGGAAGTCTCCCCGGCCTCCCCGGGATGACAGGCACGGATGTCCCCACGCTCCCGCTCTTACTTCATGACCAGGACTCCCTTCCTGGTGGCTGCCTCCACGTCCACATTGTCCACGCCGGTGCCAGCTCTGCCCACCACCTGCAGCCTCTCTGCCGCCTCCAGCACCTCGGCCGTGACTTTGGTGGCCGAGCGGACGATGAGCCCATCGCAGTCCTAAGGG